ATTTTTATTGTTGAGCTGTTAAAAACACATAAAACAACTGTCAGGTTTAATTATTAACCCAGATACTCCTAAAACTTTTTATCTCAAAATTTTTAATTAATTCTGCTATGAATGGCTTTCTACTTCAATTATATATGAGTTTTACAAATAAAAGTTTTCATTTAGGTTGGCCTATTTTAAGTTATCAGGTGTGTGTTATAACCAACAGTAGGCATTCAAGCTACTTAAGGATCAATGATTTCATTATTTAATAAATGAAACCAAGTATAAAAATTAAAGTTCTTTATTATGGTAAAGATTCTTTATTATGGTAACTAAAAAAACATGATTTAGGGTGAAGTGCAACATCTCACTTTTTACATCTGAACGCTGCCTGCTTATGACATACACCACACCTTGTTTGTTTTTCCTGATAAATGACGATATGGTCTAATTTATCGTACCTTGACTCAAAATGTGTAAGTTGACTTTTTTGACGGTCCGCGTTTTCTGAAAAAATAATGTCATAGTTTCCTCAAAATACTTACTTCCTTTTATCTATTTTATATATAGCGCACCACGTGCGCTAATATCTATTTGCGCAAATTTTCGACACCTTACTTAGCTAAACGTCGACTGCAGATAACTGCAAACCACTACTGATGCATATTTAAAAAGCAGGTTACGTTCTGACATCTAGTAAATAATAGTAAAAGTCAAATAATACAGGAGTTTGTAAAGCGTATGTTTTAACGGACAGTAGGAGTATCTGGGTTAATACAATTTATTTTACAAAACTTAATAAACGTCAAAGTATTGTACACATTAATCACATCACATCAAAAACACAATCACATCATACATGACGTGATCAAAAACACATCACATCATAAAACACCAAATGTTATATAATATGGTTGAACTTGTATTAAAATGAGGATTGCAATATTAATACAATATACAAAGGGTTGTATTTAAAAAACCAAAATGATATAAGAAAGTGGTAAATCTGGCCACAGTGCAAGCATCAAATTTGAAATCTCCATATTGCAGAATAGGCATATCCCGACTTTTGCACAATTCGAAACAATCCGTTTAAGAGATAATTAGGTATTTTCAGACTTTTGGTTCACTTTGTATATGTATGATGGATGTGCAATGTACTATAGCCGGTAATATTCATGGGCGCCGTAAGCGGGGTTTACTCTTAAACCTGACTAAGTTACAAACTGAATGTACTTCTATGTATTTAGTATTTGAACCTTCAAAGTATCAACATCTATTAAAATCCAGCTCATTAGTGCTAATTGTTTATCAGTGAAAAAACCAATACAACCAAAAACAATTTATTTATAATATTGATAGAGATATCTAACAATAAGTTTGCCGGTTATAAAAATCAAATAAATAAATAATCAACCACAGTATAGACAACAAAAATAAACTAATAAAATATCCTACAATTATTTGATAATTGAATTCTTAGAAGCTGTTGACGCAACCTTAATAAATGGCAGGATCACGTGGCAAATGTTCCAAGAACTGTGTTTTTAAATAACCTAATAAAGGTACAGTGGATGTTTTTGGTTAACCTTGTGAAATTTGCAAAATGTTTTATGCAAAAAACTGCACTGGATTTAGCTCGACGGAGATAAGGTGTCTACTTCTGACCACCCGAATTATGCCATATTTGTGTTGTGTCTGCGTGCCAGGAATCAAAAAGGCAGTTACACTTAACAACTGTGCAAAAGCATTAGAAGATACACTAAGTGAAATCAAAATTGCAAACTGTCAAAAAATGGAGGAGTTTGAAAAACAGATTCGTGAGGTAAAAGATGAAGTCAAGAGGTTGAAAACCAGTTTTACTACCTCATTTGAAGACATTAAGAAGGATCTTACCTTCATAAAAAATACCACCTCTACATCAAATACAAAAAACGACAATAATTACAGTTCCACATTGGTGCACGGCAGTGTTTTGTATGAAGTGTCTGAGAGAAAAAAGAGTTTTTGCAATCTTATGATCTTTAATATACCTCAAGATTGTGAGGAAGATGACACCTCTAAAGCTAAGGAAATGCTATCGGGCTTAGCTGGTTCTCATATAAAAATGGGTATCAATCACTGCGACTAACTCTAGAGTCACCTGAAATGGTTCAGTTGATATTGAGAAACAAGAGGGAGTTGGATAGAGGTTTAAAAGTTTTCCTGGAAGCTGATTTAACTACTGAAAAACGAGCTGAGGTCAATGCATTAAAAAAGAGTTAAAAGAAAGACAGCGTAAGGGTGAATCCGATCTCATTTTGAAATATGTTAATGGTGTGCCAAAGTTAATACGAAAACACTAAACATATCTACCAGGTTCAAAGCCCCCTCAGTCGAGACTTCAAAAGCACTGGTGTATTTTCAGAATGTTAGAGGGTTACATACAAAACTTCAGCTACTGTTTGAAAATACTTCTTACTCACAATATGATATTTTAGTTTTTAATGAAACATGGTTAACAAATGACATAAAGAGCGCCGAACAAATACCTTCAAAAGAGGTGGAGGAGTGCTTATAGCTGCCCGGAAAACCATAACCAGTGTTCGTTTGTCAGCGACTCAAAATATCGAACATCGGTTTGTTAAGATTGAGATTGGCCACATTGACAAGTTTATCTTTGCAACTTCCTACTTTCCACCGCGTAGTATCATTGAGAAGTATGTGGAATTTGCAGAAAATGTAGGTAATCTAACTGAAAAATATCCAGAATATAAGTTTTGTATCCTGGGAGATTTTAACCTCCCCAATTGTCAGTGGTCCATTGATGGATTCTCTTCTGTGGCTACTCCATTACCAGGAACCTCACCAAATGAAGTCGATTCCATTCAATTCCTCTCATTTTTATGTTCCTTTCTTAATCTGCATCAAGTAAACACTGTTAAAAATGAAAACAATTTCTTATTAGATCATGGTCCAAGATACAGAGGTTGAGGTATCTTGAGCTGAGAGTGCCCTACTATCATCTATCATCCTCCACTCTTATTTGGGTTTAAATGTGAATCTCAATATTTCAATGTGCCAGGATTGATTAGAGATGGCTTTTATAGAGACTTTCGCTCAATGATTATACAGGAAGTAACAAAATTTCATTTACAATTTAACTGGGATGATTTGTTTAAAGATACAAGTCTTGATGATATGATCAACATGTTTTATGATGGTATTTACTTTGCAATTGATGTTTTTGTTCCCCTGAAAAAGTATTCAGCAAAAAAGCTTTCTATCTGGTTTTCTTTAGAGCTTAAAAACAATAATAAAAAAAGAAAATGCATAAAAAATATCTAAAATCTCAATTACTTGCTGACTATAATGAGGTTTCTTTATTACAAGCTAACTATAAACAACTGAAAGAACAATGCTATCTTGATTATGTTGCTCTAACTGATTCCTCTCTGAAAGATAATGTTTAAAAATTTCTGGAAATTTGTTAACAGTATAAAAAACAGGAATAAGATTCCTTCTGTTATGCACTATAATAATATTTCTGGCTCCTCTGGCATGGAGATTGTCAATTTATTTGCTGAATACTTTTCCTAAACTTATAGTGATAAAGAGTTTGATTTGCAGGAAAAAAAACCTTTTTAACAGGAGACATCAACCTATCACAATTTAGCGTTTCTATTTCGTCTATATATGAAAAACTTTCTACTTTGGATAGCAACAAGGGCCCAGATCCAGATGGTCTTCCACCTTCTTTTCTTAAACACTTTAGCTTTTTACTTTCTAGACCTCTTTTTCACATTTTTAACCTGTCATTAAAGACAGGGATGTTCCCGGTCTACTGGAAAATTAGCTTTATTACCCCAATACTAAAATCTGGAGATAATTCTCAAGTGAACAATTATCGGCCTATTAGCATTCTAAGTTGTATACCCAAAGTTTTTGAGAGCCTTGTCTGTGACTATTTTTCAGCAACTTTAAAAGGCTGTTTTATCGACCAGCAATTTGGATTTCTCTCTAGCTGCTCCACTGAACTTAATTTATTGACATTTACTGATTATCAAAAATTAGTCTGATTTGGATCGGTTGAGCTATTTGTGTGACAGCAACGGAATGGAACTTAATGTTAAAAAGTATCATTTAATAGTTTTTGGTCGGAATAAAACTCCTACAAATCATATCTATACTATCAATGGTTGCCCTTTAGAATCTGTATCTCAGATAAAAGACCTAGGTGTTATGCTCGATTCCAGCTTATCCTACCCATATCTCATCTGTTGTCTCAAAATCACTTCAACTTTTAGGGTTTATCAAACGTTGTGCTAAAGACTTATACTAGTATCCCATCCATAAAAATTTTGTATTGTTCACTTGTGAGACCCCACCTAGATTACTGTTCATGTGTTTGGTCTCCTCACTATAACACCCATATTCAAGCTATTGAGAGAGTTCAACACAAATTCTTAAGATTTGTTGCATTTAAACAAAACCAGAGGATTGAAGAAATTAACTATTCACATATGGAAAGGTCCTTCAACATAACTTCTCTCCAAATCCGACGCATGCACAAGGCTCACTATGTTTTATAGTATACTGCACTCTATTATTTTTGGCCCTCAACTATTGGAAAACATTAATCTCCATGTTTCCAGTAGACAAACAAGGCTAAATGAACCCTTTTACGTTAGACCCCATCACACAAACTACGGACTCAATTCATTCACATCTAGAACAAGGTTTGCTAATCATTATTCCCAAATATTGGATTGTTATAGTATTCCAAAAGTATTTAAAGCTTAGCTTAAGAACTGTGTGTGATAGCTTGATGTCCGTGTGTTTGAACATTCTTTGTTAATGTTTGTTATTTACTGTTCCAACTTTTATTTTTATTTTTTTGTATGATTAAAATTTTTAAATTTAATTTAAGTAGGTTACGTTAAGAATCAACTGTAATTTATCAATAATGTTTACATTGTATTTTAATTTGGCAATTGCCCGTAGATAAATAAATAATAATAATACTTTTTTTGTTTCAGGGAGCAGACGTGAATTACTGCGAACACCAACATACCTACACAGCTCTGCACTTCGCCGGTCTCTCTGGAAACTCAGACGTCTGCTTGGCATTGTTGTTGGCTGGCGCAAAGTCACACATCACCAACACAGTCGGCCGTACCCCATCACAAATGGCAGCTTTCGTAGGACACCACAATTGCGTTTCTGTCATCAACAGTTATATTCCAAAATCTGACATAGACTATTACACGACAGCAACAGCGAATCGGGGTCCATACCTTCCGCCGTTTTTATCAGAAAGTTTCCATAAATTCGTTATGCAAATTAATATACATCCAATTAAAGTAGTTTTGAATGTACAGAACTTTGTAGGTTTGTCGGAACATTTGCCAGAAGTGAAAAAAGTACTTGAATTGATGTGTGAACGGGAGATAAAACGCGCAGCCGATAAAAATGAGGTTATGTCTTTCAAGTTCCATTACTTAGGGTATATTGTAGGAGAAGTCGTAAAAGTAAGGCAGAGGCAAACTGCGAAAAAGGATGAAGGTGAAGACGATAAAAAGTTGGATATCACTGAACTTTTTACGAGAAAATTGCTAAAACCTGGCAAAGACGGACAGTTGGAGTTCATGGACGCATTTTTAAAAGAATGTATCAGAGAGTTTCCTTACAGGGACTGCACGTTATTTAGGCAAATGGTTGCAAGTCTAGCAGGAGATGATCCACCGCCGTCCCTGGTAGTAATTCATCACGCCATAAACGGCCAAAGAGGCTTCGAAGATTGTATATCCATCTGCAACACCTGTGGAGAAGAGAAACCTGCCAAAAAATGTTCAAAATGTAAAGTTGTACAATATTGTGATAGGAATTGCCAGAGACTGCACTGGCATTGGCATAAAAAGGCTTGTCCTAGATTAAGTCAGATGATCGATACAGATGTACAAACCAAGCCAGATGCTTCAGAGTTATCAGCGGAGTTGCAGAATCTTCTTGTGAACAATTGAAGTCAAAAATGTATAATGTGAATTTTATTTAATGTTTATTTGACACTGTTTTATGAACAAAACAAGGTATTTAATTTTAAGTACACTAAAGCAGTTTTTATGAGTTTTATTTCATTCCCTATTTACTTATAGTGTATGCATGGAAAGTATGGTCCTTCTCATAGTTCATGAGATTCCACTGCAAGATCGCTATGTTCATAATGAAGTTAATCAAAATCACATTTTTACATACAAGAATATAATGATAACAGGTGTGTTAGAGGTGTAAACTTTTGTTGAGGTGTGAAATTCTTAAAATGATCCCTTGATTATATAATTTATTTGCATATGGCTGTTATTATTTATATAAATATTATTTTGCATAAAAAGAGCTGATTCTTAAAATGATCCCTTGATTATATAATTTATTTGCATTTATTATATGGCATACAATAATAACACATAATTAAAAATCAATATAAAACGTTACATGGAGTATTACAAACAAACATCTAATGCATTATTAATGTAATGTAAAACATTTTCGGTCACACTCAGGAACTCTTCGAAAACTCCAGGGAATCACCTTTGGGGGCATTCTTCAATAATGTGACGAACGGTCTGCCTTTTTGCATCACAGTTATACCGCTGCTTGTTCGTATTCTGGTTAGCGTTCTCCATGTATTGCGGGTCAGTTTAAAGCCTGGCGGTTTCTGATCGATACAGGCCATTTGGTGTGCTTCCTGTGGTTTGTCACTCTCTCATTGTCGTCTCCAAGCGTTTTTGAGGTTGAAATGTTCCTGAAGTAAGAAGTTGGCTCTTAGCAATGGAGGATATCTATAGCGCAGTCTGTTTATTTCGATATCAAGCCTATCATGGAGGATGGATAGTTGATGGTTAGCCTCAATTTTTCGATATTCTCTGAGAAGAGAATGACTTCTTGGCAGTTTCGGCGGTGGAATGTGACTCAGAATGGGAAGCCAATAGTTCAGTGTGGGTCTAATTGTACCTGAAATCATTTGCATTTTCTGGTTTAATTGGGTGTCATTAATCTTCATGTGTTTGCTATTGAGTCATACTGGGGAAGCATATTTAACCACCAAGTCCGAGAGCGGATGATCTGAGTACGGAGGCTGAGGACCTCCATGTGGTGCCACCTATCTTTTGGACTATATTATTTTTCGTTTTCAGTTTTGCTACCATTCGTTGTGTTCTTTAAAACTTAATGTTCTGTCCAGAGTCACTCCAAGATATTTTGATATTGGGCAGTCTGTTTTCAAAGTGAACGGAGAGTTTTTTTGTTGGCTTGGGCATTATTCAGATAGAAACAGTAAACTTCGGTTTTCGTTGCATTTGGCCGTAGCCTCCATTTGCGAAAGTATTCTCCCATAACGGTAAGGTCATCCGTTAGTATTGTTTCAGCAATATCCATGTTATTATGTCTTGCAGTCCATTACTGAGCTTTATTTGAACACTTCTAAAATTGCCCATTGTGACTTGAAAATGTCTGTCGGTGAGCATGCTATCAATGAGTTTAGTTAACTTTTGACACGGGATGACACGGATTAGTTTGCAGATTAATCCTTTTCTCCTGACAGTATCGTATGCAGCTGATAAGTCAATGAAAGCAACGGATGATTTTTGCTTTCTTTGAAAACCTTCTTCTATATGTGTTGTTAGGAATAGGATTTGATCTGTGAAGCCGCGGTTAGGTTTGAACCCTGCTTGCTCAATAGGTATCAATTGAAATATGTTTCTACTAATTAGGTTGTAGATTAAGCGTACCAACAGTTTATAGACACAACTCAGCAGTGCAATCGGTCGGTAGTTTTGGGACTGATCATTTGACTTTCCTGGTTTTAATATGGCTATAATGGAGGCCATTTTTAGTGAATGGGGGATTTCTCCTGATTATAACATATCAGTTTGGAGTGTCTGCTAGATCCATTTTGTACATTATTGAAGGTGTTAGAGCATGATTTGACCTTAGCCTATTAATAGTTTTAATAAACTTCTGTTGAACTCTGAATAAAACCACATTTTTGTTAAGAAGTGTGGGTTGCCAATATTTAAATGATGACTGTCTTTTGGATTCCGTATAATTGACTTGCCATTTTAATTTGAGCCGATGTTTACTATATACATCTATATCTGACACCGGTAGAATATTGTTGTCTATGGTTTCTCCGCTTGATAATCTTTTGCCAAAGCATCTTCTATTATATTACCCTATATCCCAGAATGGCCTTTGATCCATGCGATAATAACTTCTCCTCCGAGCTTTGAAACCTCGTAGTACAATTTTAATATCTCTATATCAAGATGAGTCAATTACTTGGATTTATTTGTTACACATAATCTTTCTACTGCACTTTTACTGTCTGTAAATATTACACAGTTCTTCATTTCCTTTGTCAAAGTGTCAGAAAGAGCAAACGTTAAACCCAGCATTTCGGATGTGTAGCTGGAGGCTTCATCAGGTAACTTATATTTATGCTGTTGTCCAGAATACTGTTGGTATACTGCGCAAGCAGTGTTATTTTCTTCTGAATTTCTTCTGAATCTCTTCTGAATTTCTGCGTTAAACATGGGGCCTTGGACATTATTGAGAAATTCTGTCTTGATTTTTATTGAGAACAGCACATGAGGCTTTTCAGTATAAACTGGTGGACGATGACCCTTATACAGAACCTCTTTAAATTTAGATAGATTTCTGTAGCTTTGCGCCACGAGTGGAGATTTTTTCGTAAACCAATACCTTTTAGTCAAATCTAAAGCAGCCAGATTGTGTATATCTTTGAGAAATACTTGGTCTCTGCTAATGGTACGAGCTATATATTTGTCGGTAAGTGTAGTATCCTTGTAATAATACGACAATTACGGTAAATAAATTTTACTAAAATACCCGCTAAAAGGGTGAACACAAATGTTTATATTTTTAAAGCAATTTTACAAGTGTCCTTTTTTTAGTTGACAGCTGACGGTTGCCAGACAGCCGTCAGCTAACACCCTAAGGTCGGGTTCACACTGTCTAAGCTTACGACACTACAATACCTCCCCTCACAAATTCAAGCGCTGGGGTGGTTTAATATTACGCTTTGGTCGTTCACTTATATTAACCTGACTCTTTTCAGTTGTAACTTCAGATGCAGTCTGAGGATAAGGCTGATCAGCTAAATTTTCATTGATTTTAATTTCTTCCTGTCCCAGAGTCTCATTCGTTTGGGAATAGGGCTCGTTTAATAACAATTTTGGTTGGACATTCAAATGTATAGCACTAGGCCCCTGTTCGCCACTTGACCACTTATTTTCAAGACCTTCCCTATAAACTTTTTCAACCTGATCCTCCACTACATCCGATTGATTCCGCCGAATTTGATTCAAATGCCTCTTCCAAATCAAATTCTCATGAATCAGTTTACACAAATAAATCCTATCATTTAAAACTTCATCTATTACACTCTCTACCCATATTTTTCTATTTGAATTTCGATAGTCCCTGCACCAAACTCTATCCCCCTCTACAAAACTATCTTCTCTTTTTCCTTTATAATTTAAAATTTGATTTTCAGCTTTTTCTTTTGATGAAACCCCTTTTAGAGACAATAAATCTAAACGTGTACGTACCTTAGTTTTAAACATCATACTGCTAGGTGACATACCAGTAGTAGCATGTATCGAATTTCGATATGAAAATAAATATCTGTAAATGAAAGTTTCCAGTTGCACATTTTTATTTTTTTCATCTGAAAGAGCTTTTTTTAATCCTAATTTAACCGATTTAACACAGTTTTCTGCAAACCCGTTAGTTGAGGGATGAGAGGGTGGAGATGTTACAAACTTAACTCCGTTATTACTCAAAAAATCAATAAAGTTTTCGGATGTAAATTGGGTCCCATTATCCGTTTCTACTATACGCGGTATATCAAAACGTGAAAAACATTCCCTAAATCTACTAGTAGTAATATTAGTATTAGTATAGTATTAGTATAGTAATAGTATTTTCTGAATCAGGTGTGTTCATCACGAATACCTCTGGCCATTTAGTGTATGTGTCCACAATAATTAAAATTGTCTTTGTCCTAATGGGCCCTAGAAAATCAGCATGTATTTTTTCATAAATGTAGTGAGACTCCAGTGACTTCATCAGCTTAGCCTTAGGCGGATCTGGCCGCAATTGGCAACAATTTTTACAGTTATTGACCTGCTGCTCAATCTCGTTATCTAGCGATGGCCACCAGAAATAGGAACGGGCGCTGGACTTCATCTTCGTCATACCTTCATGATTAATGTGTAATTCTTTAAGTAACTGCCCTCTCAGTGCAACAGGAATTACCGCGCGATACCCCCACATTATAATTCCTTGCTCAATAAAAAGCTCCTGCCTCCTAGCTATCATCATCATCATCAACTAGCCTCTAACGTCCACTGCTGAACATAGGCCTCTCGCATGCTCTTCCACTTAGTCCGATTTTGCGCCATCTGAATCCAATTTGTAGTCACTCTTTTTATGTCATCTGTCCATCTCGTTGGGGGTCGACCTCTATTTCTGTATGCTTGTATTCGGGGTCTCCATTCCAAAATTCTTTTTGTCCACCGGTCATCAACTGATCTTGCTACATGACCTGCCCAGTTCCACTTTAGTGTTGTTATCCTTTCAATAACATCTGCTACTCCTGATCTTTTGCGTATAGTAGCATTGGGTATTCTATCACGTAGAGAAATCCCTAACATAATTCTCTCCATTGCTCTTTCCGCAACTTGTAGTTTACTCACTGTTGTTCTTGTGAGCGTTAGGGTTTCTGCGCCGTAGGTCATCACTGGCAAAATACATTGATTAAATACTTTTCTTTTCAGACACATTGGAATCTTAGACCTAAAAATATCCTTCATCCTTCCAAATGCAGCCCAAGCGAGGTTTATTCTTCTTTTCAGCTCGATTGTTTGGTTGTCTCGACTTATTCTGATCTCATGGCCTAAGTATTTATAGGAGTCAACTGGCTCAATATCTTTGTCTTCTACTGAGATGTTTTTGTTGTGGACTAAATTTGTCATAAATTGTGTTTTTGAAAAATTTATTTTGAGACCAACTCTTTTTGTGGCAGTATGGAGTTCTT